AAAGAACATGAAAGCCTAAAAAAGAGCTATGGTTAATCTGAGAATCTTTAGCCAGTTGGTAGGACTTTATTCGCCATTTTAAAGTGTTGACTTAGCTTCCGACATATTTATTCCCTATGATGTTACGGAATAAGATGCATAAAGATACATCATAATGCCCTTATGCAATAAAATAATAATGTAGAACTGATTAAGTTGTAAAGGAATTAATTATAGCTACATTCCCTAAAGTTTATTTGTAATTTAAGTATGATTTGAATATCTTAAGAAGGTAGAAGACTGTATCTGTCAGGCAAGCCATTAAATCATAAATTATTTTCATAGAGATAATTTGAAAATGAACCTCTGAAATAGGCTAGTTTGTTTATTGTTGTTTAATAGCATAAGCTCAGCATAATAATAGGTAGATTACACAACTTCAAGTTGTGTTTATTCCAAAGATTTTATATGTAATAGTAAATCTTCTGGTTCTACGATACATTAACTTAATCGGTTTCTTAAAAGGTCGTAAAACAAAGAAATGGAGATCGATCAAGCAAGCAATGAGAGTCTGAAGTCATAAATCCGAAGTGAGGAAAGAGAAGCCACGGAAAAATGCCAAGATAAAATTTATAAATGAGTCTGAGCTCATAACATATTTGGATTTATAAATGGCTTCGAGAAAATTTCATATTTAAGATAGGATGAAGAGAGTATCTTGTAAGAGCTATGCATCATAATGGATATAGTTTGTAGTAGTTCAGGAATATACTTAATATTATAACCTGATTAACTGTAGGTTACAGGTACGAGCTAAAAAAGAAATGAACATCAGTAGATAATTTTATTAGTTTGCAGTTTTTATTAGAATCCAAGTATGAACATTTATGCCCCGAATAGTGATTTAATTAGAGCGGATATTTGGAATAAAAAGCAGAGTAAAAGTGGAAAATTTTAAGCGTGAAATGCTTTAAAAATATTGGAAGATTTTTATGAATTTATCTTCCTACTAATTGAAAAACCAAAATCAATGTCGAGGTGATTCAAAGGACGTGGCAATAAAAGAATATTATCTTCAGTATATATATATATATATATATAATTATATGCCAATAAATAAATAATAATAAATGTATCAATTACAATTTCGAGTCACCATTTCGTTGCCAATTAAGTCTATGACAGCGACACGCCACCGTTGTGTAGCTGCCCCATAGCCATAAACAGCCACTGCCATTGCTTTACCACCCGGTTCAGTAACAAGCCCTGTGAAGACGACTGTTTCATCTCCCTCTGCGTGCCCGACTAGCCGACTTTGAGAAGGAAGGTTAAATTCCGTGGGATTAACTGTTACCAATCCAGGCCTACTCTCCTTGAACCCTTCGATAGTCGAGCCTCGGTGAGTCCTGGATGATAAGGCTTCCCTCGGGGCCAGAAATGGTAAGGTTGCAAGAAACGAACTATCGGACAAGTTTATAGGGTTCGTAGACTCGAAGCTTGAATGTGTAGGGAATTCTCCTCGTGATGAGTCAAAAGGCTGCATCTGACCAGTATCTTCTAAGCCTGAGAAGTTATAACTAGGCCATTCTGAAAGTGTATTATGACCTTGATCGGAACTATAATTCGGTCTTATATCTGGAAACACAGAGTTGCCTATTGAGTGGAGTGGTACGCTATGCCAACAGAGTCCGGCATCAGTACTGAAGCGAAGGACCTCGGGCCAGAGAATATCGGCTGGTATTGCGACAATCAAACCGCCGTGGTTTGCGATCTGATAATGATGTGGTCCATCTAGCGCCTGATTAGAATAGAGAAATGTTAGTAAAAGTGATAACATTAAATTAATACCTGGGTAGAGCAAAGAAATTAGTTCTAATATACTTAGTTTTATTTCAAATCTGTACTGCGTGATTCATAAGATTTAATCCGGTCGTAATGTAAAATTCATAATTAAGTTGAGTCGGAATTTTAAAAAACTCGTATCATACCTATCCTGGAGGCTAGAGTAAGTATTAATCAATAGTGCACATTTGGCTGTTTAATTACATGAACATATAGCTATAAATGAGGATGTGGAAAGTAGATATAAAAAAACTTAACGTGCTAAAAAAAATGAGTAATATGAGATATATTCACTCTATTCTGTTTAAGGTGATAAAGGACTGATAGTTGAATTTT